ACATAGCAACAACAACGGAAAATTCGGCTAGCGAAGGAAATATGAAACAACTATATGACACAACGAAGAAATTGGTAATGAAATATAGTAAGCCAGAGAGACCGTTCAAGTACAAATAAGGCAAGGCAATGACTGGGATTCATCACTGCTGTCGCACAAACGGGGTTATCCAAGTATAACGTACGATGCTAAATGGAAGATTTTTCTTCATATATATATATATATATATATATATATATATATATATATATATATATATATATATATATATATATATATATATATATATATATATATATATATATATATTTAAACTAATGTCAGTTTGACCGGCGGTAAAAATTCATTTTTCCATTGTTCCACTGAAAGTGTTTTGCCACGAACTTTTAGACTTTGAAATTTCAATGGAAGTAATATGAGGTGGGAACTCGATATCTTTGTCTGTCTGAATGAAAAATTAGTTCCATATAATGAGACAAGTTTGGTGGCCCAATACGTCACTTTTAATGGAACACTTAGTCTAGAAATAATCGTTCCAGGTATTTAATTTTTTACACACATTTTGTCTTTTCAATAAAGTGGACCCTTATAAACTTTATAATTGAACGTGAATATGATGCTCGTCAAACTGACAGTATAAGTGTATTTTTGTTGAGTCTCAATTACAATATCTGGATATGTGTTAACATAACCGCTTGTTTTAAAAGTCCAAACAGCATATTTGAGTGATAATGTTACCTTTCCAATGAAAATTTTGGAACACCTGAAAACACTGGATTCTGATTTCATCATGATTGATTGCTTGCCTATACACCTTTTATTCCGATGATGATACGATTCTTTTCAATGTCAAGCAACCAGCAGTAGTTATGGTCTGCTCATACTGAACTGTTTCCAAAAAATTACTGGAGTTTATTGAAAAGTTAATAGATACGTGTTCATAACGGAACTGCCGATGAAACGCAGTATATTCGAGATTGGTAATCTTGGTTGGCAAGTTTTGAACATATTCGAATAACGATATTAAATTTTCTATTGCTCCACGTTTAATCACTTTGAAAAGCTCTTATCGAAATCTGAAGTGAAATATATAATTCTGTCATACTATTTATTACCTTTTGTTAGAAATATCAATAACGCATTCAACCACAGACATTTTTTGAAAGCTATTCTTTCTACTTAAATATTTAAAAGTAGCTCACGTTCAGTGTAAATTTCATTACTGGAGTGCTAGTTGAAAAATCACTCTTCATCTTATGTAATTCAGTGATCTTTATTCCTCTGAAAAAACAAACCCGAACAATATGTGTTGGTTTGTAAAGCATGTTAGACATCATGGGGAAGTCAGAGTGTAATCCTATTGTTCTAAGGATCTAATCGAAAACAATATTGTTCGCTTGTATATGTTGTTCGGATTGACTTGAGATAATTTAAAGCATTGATAAATTTTTAAATTGCTTCAAGCCTAAAGTGATTCCATTTTTAATGTATGACATTTAGCGAAAACACTCTTAGAATTTCTATCTATATATTTTTAAATGACTCACTTGTTCTCATCAAAATACGTACAATATTCACATTTACCCATATTGTTTTCTTCTATGATTAACTTGAATTGTATACTGACATATTAATCTTCGTCATAATATACACTATCCATGAAATCAAACTAAGAGTCAAACACTTCAAGTAGTTTTGTATTTAGACAGAAATATTTTGATGAAGATCAATGGTAATATCAGTCAAAATTTTGGATTAACGATTAATACAATTTTTACGCTGTTGTTAATGGACCAGTAATGACTGACTATTCATTGGTAAGTCCAGAGAGCTGAAAAATTAGTATATGGTAGATAAAGCAAACAAAGTTGCAAAACATATTATTTTATGTTAGATGGCACGTTATTGATTTTAGTTCTTGCTGTCACTTATCAATGAGACATATTTGCGGCGCTGCGAAACTGTGTGGGTTACTCGTAATTTAAAGTCACTTTGTGTTATAGCACAACGAGAAAACCGAAAAAAAGACCTAGCTATAAATTCATTTCGGGTTACGTATTCAGAAATGAAAACTCAACTATTCCATAAGTTTGTAACCAAATGAAATAACTCATTTCCAGAAGCAATCATAAATCAGTTCACGACTAAAAATACACATGTACTCAAACGATCACTACTGATAAGCATAAAAAAACATGCCTTAATCTGATTGAATATACACTAACAATTTATTATCATTTTCTCCGGTTTTTAATTGTGTGTTATGCTGTAAAAGTCATTTATTCTTTGTAAAAGTGGAATTTGGAAAGTCCCAAAACGTCCTAAAATCTTCTTTGTACTCATTAAGATTTTACCAATGTTTTTTTCGATTAAATAAAGAGTTATTAGGTTATATTTAATGAGTACTTTACTTTTATCTTGAAATCACTGACATGGTCTATGAGAACGTAAATCACTGCATAAAATCACTGAATTTCTTTCAGATTAGACAGAGAATATTTCACACTTTACCACAAATGTCTTTCAGTAGTAGTAGTTTTTCAGTAGTTGATTATGCCCAACTCATATACAATCAGTAGGCTCACCAACAAAAAATTATATTTGCCTAAAATCTTCAGTCTCATACCATTTAATCAAACGTATATGTATAACACTTTACTTTATACTTTGATTTCATCGAAACTAACACTTACACCAAGCACATGTTCTTTAAAATTATTACTGTAAGTAGATTTTCTGTTCCCATTACGTCATTGGTAAGCAATATGGTTGTGTAAATTTACGGTACCAAGCCGACTAGCCAGAATCTTAGTTATTTTTAAGATTTTCAGATGGGTGTTTGGAACACTTTTATTTATAATTACGAACGGTATATTTCTTTTAGTTACATATCACAGAATACAGAAAGCTATTATAATCTTCTGTCTGTCTTAACAACTGGTATTTAAAACCATAAAGCTTTCATCGGTTTGTTTTGTATGTTGATATGAGATTTACAAAACCATTGATCTTAATCGAAAGCACCACCTAACACCACCTTTTGTCTCCATGGTAGACACTTTCCAAATTTCATGTTAACTTCAGACTTGATTTTTACTAATGGTTATAAATAGCTTGTAAGATGTGAAAATTAACGTTGATGAAGGATAAATCAAAGAAGGTGTAGCACGATCATAGATTGGAACAATACAAGATTCGTTTCTATTATGAATAATGTTCCAAGTTTCAATCATTAAAAATACATTGTTGCTCACATATCAGGAAAAATTCAATTTTTCATAACAACAGTTGAAATAAAAACCAAGATCGAAGTTTCCCTATATAGAAATTATCAAAAGATTAGTGTAATAAGTGTACAGAATGAGTAGGTAGAGAAATTCGTGTATCTGAGTAGCTGCATAAGTACAGGTGTTGGTGTGAGTGGGGAAATCAATTCACGAATAATGAAAGTCAAAAGGTGTTTATACTGATCTTGGCCATCTTTGGAGTCTTTGTAATATTAGTCTGGTTACAAAAGTTCGGATCAATAATGCGTCAGTAAGAGTAGTGTTCCTCTATACTTGTGAAATCTGGCCTTCCCAAGTTGAGGATTTTAGACGACTTTCTGTGTTTGATCATCGTTTTCTTTGACAGATTGCTAACTTCCATTAACAACACCATTTTGGTAATATGGAAGTTTGGCAACGAATTGTCAAGTACAGCGATGATAATTGAATTAGCTTTCCCGTCTTGAAACACCGACTTCGGTTGCTTAGACAGGTACTATAAATGTCTTATCATGTTGTGCATTATTTTCCGACTCTGGAACTAGTTGAAAAATGCGTAGAGGTGGTCTGTGCATGATATGGTGTCGTAGTATGAAAGAAAGGTATGGAGGAATGGCATCTGTTTATGCTTCACGATTCCCTGGTTGAGGTCCTGGAGATAGCGCAATACGATGTCTTCGAACGTTATCACAAATGGCTCAGAATACAAGCCAGTGGCGATCATGCTGTAACTTTCGCTTGATAAGAGCTAAGATAACTGACAGAATCCTTTCTGGTTGCATTTTTTCTAACTGAACTGTTCCATCCGTCCATCTATCCACTATTATTATTATTATTTCACTCTCGTGCACTAATTTCTATTCACAATTTCGTTTTCTTATTATACTAACTTTCGTTTTTCTGTCACTTCATAATCTCATTTTTGTTATGTGGAGAATTCATATCTTGGTCGCCCCTTGCATCAAAGCTTACATGTTTAAATAATAGATTATCAATGTACCAATAATAATAACAAAGTCTATATATTATATATATATATATATGTATATATATATATCATCATAGGTTATAAATCAACATTTTTAAGCTAGCAACATAATGAATACTACTTGACAAATAAAATATTTAGTCTGGAAGTATTCCTGAAAAGTTTTTAATGATCTGTTAAAATGATTTATTTTAAAGTTTTATTGGCCAGTTGTTGAGTACATTAATGTGTTAATAATATTTTAGAATGATTCCATGAAAACTAATATGTTATCGTTAATGAGTTAAAAGTTAAATTTTCAACTTTTTATAAACAAGATCACATGAAAATTGTTTCTATGTGATATTAAAGTCATTTTGTGTTTACTTTTTTTCAAACGAATCAGATTCTTGATGTAATTAATAATGAAAGTATTGAGTAAGCTTAAACATGGTATATATTGATAATCAGCAAACTGATTTTATAAACTGCCCTTGATTAATTAATAAAAATAGTCCATTATTATGATCAACAAAATTTCTTTAAAAATGAAAAAAAAATGACACACAATTTATTTTAACTAAAAGGAAATGATTTATAACATGGTTGGTTTTGGTCCATGATGTTACTATAACGACATTATTATCTGTGAATACAACATTTTATTACGTAAGAGTTGAAGTTAACACAAGAGTATATTGCATTATAACAATAGTTTAAGATAATTAAATAGAACAAGAATGGAGTATTTTTAAAATTATAACGAATTAACAGCAACAACATCCTACGGATCTGTCTTTTTCGTCATTTCCTAACCAAAGGCACCATATGGTTTTTCCATTATCACAACTGAACACCAGATATTTTCCCTTAACTGCTTCTTTTACTGGTTGTGTATTGTTGATAACACGTCCTCTCCAACGTGAACCGAACTCACGATCACATTGTACAGTTATTTCATATAAATTGGAATGATCATTTTGTTTATTCCATCCATATTTTATAATTCTCAATATTTTTTGCTGCATCTCTGGATTTAGGTTGCTTGAGTAGACGATTGGTTTAGGTATTGAATCTGGAATTACTATGTTTCTTTCTTTAAGTATTTCGCTGTAACGGGATTATGAACACCGTAAGTTATAATTTTATAAGTAATTTTGTGTACAAGCTGGTAATGGCAACTGAAAATACATATTTAGTAATCTATTAGATCTAACCAATAAATTTGAGCCAGTCTCAGGTGAACGAATACAGAGTTTGAGAATAGAATGTTCAAGGGGAAAATTTCTTTCCAATCTATTCCGTGTCGGATGTGATATAGTTATCCACTACAAGCGATCAATAAAAAAATGTGGAAGCTCATGGTCTGGTTAAAGTAAGACATTGACGCTGTAGGGTGCCTACTCAGTGGCCTAGATGTTCAACGTTCACCCAAGAGAATGGTCACAGGTTCGGCTCTCGCATACAAGGTTGTGGATGAGCACTGCTGAAGAGTCCCATACTAGAACTAAAAGGCCTTCCAGCGTTTTCGGGTTTGCAATGAAGATCTAGCTAAGATCAATTCGTGATTCAAGCGATTAGAATGCTACGTTCTTCACAAACTCATTATACTAATTGAATTATATTTTGAGTATAGTTTATAAGTAAATATACACTCAAATAACACCTATTTGAAGTTTTACCACAACAGCTGATATGAAAATATATTTTCAACACCTACTTAATGGCTAAATTGGAGAATATCATTGGTAAAAGTATCAAAGTCCGGAACTATTAATTTTTACAAATGGAACAATATACAGCCAAATGAATTTAAAATATAAACCTACTATATTAGTATTTTTAAGACCAACAGTGAAATCCATTTTAATTTCATACCTTCAATTAGAGCGATTTATTTACAAAATACTTTCAATACGTAATCAGTTAACATTTGTTACCTTCGTGTACTCTGTTCATCTGACTGCTTTAAAAGTATATCAATTATCTATAAACTCTTATATAACATTATTTCTTGAATGAGAAACATTTAAACTAGGTAATAATCCTACAGTGAATCAAAAACAATCTTCACAAAAGCTAAGAAGGTGAGGTTAGGATCTAAGGCTGGTGAAGGTAATAACAGCTTCTTATTGTTAGCATTTTTGAACGATCAAATTTATGAGTGACTAAAAGCATTTAAGGGACTCCTAAAAAATACCTGAGGTCTTGTATTAGATTTATTACTATTCATCAAATGATCATCGGACTTTTAAGCTAATAGCATTTCAAGAAACAGCAACAAATAGAAAAGCCTTACATACTGGTAAACTCTAGTAACTACTGCTACAGTCTAATGATATTAAGTGAATCTTTAAAGTGAACGTTTACTGCAAATAATAATAATACACTTGAAAAAAATATAATATAGGGCAAAGACCTAGGTATATCTATTTTATTCTCATGCCAATGCATGCTCTTCATCCCTTTAAAAGTGTAAATGTTTTCTTATTTTAGTGGATTAAAAATCAAGCATCATAAAATTCAGAGAAAATACATGAAAATTTCAATCTTCAGATATGCCATGTAATGAGATTGCAGAAACTAGTATACTTGATCAACAATTTACACCTTTTTCAGAATTCGGTCTAATTATTAATGCCTATATCTAGTTATGTTGACTGTTTGTAATTACTTACAATTAAAGAATGATTTATGTAATACATTACAATTGCATTAATACAATAATAAAATGTTTTTTAGTTCATTATTTCTACATATCATGAATGCGAGGAAAAACTGAAATGTTCACAAAAATAGCGAATCAGCTGATGAATTTAGGATAATCGCATAGATTGTTTCTTATGCCAGCATCTACGATTTACTTATGAAATTATGAGACTAATATTTGAAATTTAATGCCCTGTAATTGAGTATTATTTAAAACAATGCTAGGACTATTCATTAAGGTTACCTCCATATAAAATAATTACAAAATCAGGTTTCTTATTTTTGAAGAACTGTAGTAGAAAAATTGCAAGTAATTAAGAAAAAAACTAAAAGGGCTACGACCTGATATAAATAGACGTTCTCGTTATTCGTCTTGTATGTCCCGTCAAAACCGATAACATCACGGAAACGACCTGTCAAATTCATTTGCTCAGCAGTCATGAAGAAAAAATACGATAGACAGTTATCATTTTCTAATTCGTATTCGCAAAGCCCACCCAAGGATGTTATGTGAACTTGTAATTTTCCGTAATCACCTATGGTGTACATTATAAATTGGCAAATTGCTTACCAGGAAGGTTCGCGTGTGAGAACACTTTGTACCGCATATTACAGACATCTCGATCAGTCAGACGTTTCCCATGAGATTGGTAAGCAGAATTCTTAATATGGAATGCAGCGGTACCATATATCAGCAGCGATCTCACAGTTTCAAACTCTGCATCCGTTAACCTGCGCACCCATGGATTAGTTTGGTACCTCAGGGAATTGCACTCGTGATTGTGATGCACATTCCCACGTACAACAGTCCAGTAGCCGTCTACATTCTTACAAAACATGAAGGCCGGATATTGGGTGTTCATGGAAGCCCTTCGTGAAAAAAATTATAATAACATTAACCAAATCACCTCCTCCGTCTAATCCGCTGTGACGAACCGCTAGATCTTATACTCCCATTTCTCCAACACACAAATTTAATATACGAATTTTGATCTCTGACAATATGCGAATCTCTCACTACATAATGACTGTAAGTCGATCTTTCAAAATTTGTGATAGCGGTCTTTAACGCTCCAACCGATAAGAACACAACCAGAAACAAGGTTGTCAAAAAGACTTCCTCCATTTCAGTGACGTGAGAAACACCAGCGCTTGTAATTGGCACGTTACTCCCCTCCATAATGACGATTAAAATGTACTTCGTCGACAAGTACTGATAATTTATAACAATTTTCAAGACATAACTAACCAATTAAATCGAACTTTTAAAACTAGCCATTTCATTGGACGAAACACAGGATGAAAAATATTGTAATTTGGGGGTGGGAAAATTTTTTTAATGGGGTGGGAGGGGACTTTTAAAAAAATTACAAAAATTGCCTGGCGGATAATATTATTCGTATTTATTTGGATATATTCGTGAAACTACACATTTTAAAACATAAAAATGAGACAAAAATTGGCATAGTGAGTAATATTTGATTTTAAACATAGTATCTAAGGTGGAATTCACGTAATAATATGTCTATATGATTTTAACTATTTCAATGGTGTTACTTAGGTAACCTTTTTTTAAAGGGTCTTGTTGTTTTGTCGGGAACATGGGCTTACATGATTGAGAAAAGATTTAATCACATCTACAGGTAGTTTTGTGGTGAATGTGGATTCAGGCAGGAACAACCAAACGTATTTTAATACATTATAGAATATCTAGATAAAATCTGAGAACCATACTATGAATACTTCATTTGCAAAATGTGCATCAATTGTTTCAGACTTTGTTGTTCCTTCGTTTCTATACCAATCAGTCTCTGTTCTCGTTTTCCTCTCTTCAATTTTCTCAACCTTCTGTCTCCAGGCATTGCACTTTCAGTTGGCGATACATACTACCTATATCTCTCGACATAAGTAGCACACACCACAATACTATCCATTTTGCCGTCGTAGACAGTGAACATGATATCAAAATAGAGGAATCTTTTCCAGCTTTATATTATGTAATAGTTTTGTAAAACAATACGATTAGTTCACCATTACAAGTTAGAAGCCATTTAAATCACTTAATTATACTAAACTTGTGTATGAAAAAGATGTACACTCATCTACACCAATCCTATGCTACAACCTGAAAACTCTTATTCTCAATCACTTTTAAACCTATCTCTGAACATTCTTTTTCTTATGAAACATTTGTAGCTTTGTATTTATCTTCCTCTATCATTATGGAGCCTATAAGTGTAGTTACTAAAATCAATTGCTTTCTCAAATGTTTATTCGTAATTGAGAATGAGGTAATATTACAATGATCATATTGTTAAATTAACAATTTAATTGGTTCAATTATATATTCACGTATATTCTGCAAATAATTTACCTAGAAACCAAAATATTATTGTAAGTTTACTATTTTATATTTCTCAAGCTAATTACTTTTTGAAAGAATTAGTCAGAATTCTAAAGACAGTCTTGTTTTTAAAAAAAGCAATCCAGCATAAGCACATGACAAATCAAATTAACTAGTTGATTGATTTTCTGCTCATTGATAGAAGAAACATTTTCAATCAATATTTTTCAAAACTAGTAATAAAGAGTGACTTTGAAGTGATTGAGAAGATTTGTAGCTCAGGTGGATGATTTTGGTGAAGTTTTGTTCTTCTGAATGACACCATCAGCACAAACTTCAGGTAGTTTTTTTGAAGTTTGTGCTGATAAAAGCTCCACGACCAAAAACCATCCAGCTAAGAGAATAAAACTCCACTAAAATGAAGAATGACGATTGAATTATTTGTGCTTCAGTAACAAGGTAATACTTATAGTTTTATTTCTACTGTTTAGAATAAAGTCAAATGGATTTCGACTGCCTCTCATGTAATTGCGATCATTTTTTTTAAAGTCCAAAGTGAATTAATCAGAATCATTAGGTCTAAAATATATCAACAATCAAGATATGATTCTTCTGGTGCATAGTAAATTAGTCATTTATTTTAAAGATCATTTTGAATAAATTCTGCGATAATAAATCATTTTAAATACTTATGTTAACATGGGGTTCACTATAAAATCGGTAATTTAATCAAATAATTTAAGATCAGTTTTTAAAGTACAGCTAGATTCAAAATGACTTCATTATCAGGATCTACAGTTATATGTCCATAATTATGATATTTTACAAAGTTTAAAATAAGGCATGTATTAAAGAATTCGACAATGTAATATGTTAGAAATGGTGAACGTTTGTATCTGTTACGACATGATTACTTTAAGATTGTGTTATTTATAAATTAGGAAATTCATTTAATAAAGGTCAGAGTGATTTGTGGTAGTGCCAAGTCATAACCAATATAATAGCATTATAATGAAATAAAAAATCGTGTGAATAAAATCCATAGTAGGAGAATTTTGTCTTGTTCTTTGGGGTAACAATAATCCAGCTCAGAGGACAAAACTTCATCAAAATCATCTACCTCAGCCATAAATCTTCTTCACCATCACAAAATAATAATAATGATAATGACTTTTGAATATAATATGTAATAATCGAGGTGTTATCACGGTAACTGAAATGAAATTCATGTGAAATGAGAAAGATGAATGCGAAGATTTAGAAAGATATAAACAGAATAAGAAATTGGGAGGGAGGATAAGAGGTTTATAATATCCATTTCAGGTATCTGATGATTCAGTCGTGAACCAAGGTAAACATAGAGGCTTGATAAATAAGTTCGGTTTTCTGGAGTTGATCCAAATGGATTCATTTATAAGAGAGGAACCGTAATCCAGCTCCTTTAGATAGATTGTTTGGAATTTGATATAAAACAGAAAAGGCTTTATCTATTTTAATATGATGTTCACTATATACTAAGTAAGAAAGGATGTCATTATTGATTGATTTTGTGACTTTTTTTTCCAACCATCCTGGTACATGTTCACGAACACACAAGGTTGAATTGGTATACATACATGGAGGAACCCACAATGGGCAACCTATCCTTGATTTGCTGTGTAAGTACTGGTTTGGCTGAGAAAATTACATGTAACTTGGCAGTGTGAAACGTCGTTTCAACAAATTTTTTGAGTGGACCTAATGAAATGTCACCCGCTATATCCTCTTTAAAATTCAGTTTTAGATAGAGGGTTTGTACACTGGCATAGTCGGAGTTTGGCCTTTATAACTCCCAAGAGAAATTTTCTGACAAAATTATCTGGGTAACCATTATTTCGTAATATGTTTTTCAGTTTATCTATTTCGCTATTTACACCGTCTTCAGAACATACTAGTTTGTTTCTGTGGCTGAGACATTTAACCAAATTCATGTTGTATTGAACAGGTGTAAAGCTATGAAAATGAGTATACTGACCCGTCCAAATATTCTCTATAAATACATTTCCTTTTGTGAGAAAATTTATCCCTTTAGAAAGTAGGACATCGAGAAATAGGTTAGAAATTGGTTACAGCAACCAATCAGTATAGTCTTGAATCTTTCATATTCGACCTTTGTCGAGAGTATCAAGTCTTGTGTCTGGGTAAACATGTTGTCAAATTAAACATTAGTCTTCAAATGGTTCACATGTCTATATCTATCACAAAACTTAAGTCCTGCTGATTATACTTCCAGTTGACTTTTGTCGAGATTAACAGGGAAAAAAGTTAAAAACATACCTGTTAGTCTTCTGAAAAACCAGGTTTAAATATGTGGTTATAGAGTCCTTTGATTAGGTATATGATGACTGCAACTCAACTGCAAAAGCCGTTAACCTAAATACTATGTTCAAACTAGTTTTTTTGCTGTAAACTGCATAAATCTACTGGTCAAAATGAACCACGGTACTTTAAATTTCAACAAAAGATGTCGTTTAAATCAAAAAGTGTAAAGTATAAGACTAACACGTGTTTTTACTCGTGGATCACATTAATATTGTAGTGCAAATCCTTAGGCGGTTGAAGAATACTGATTTATTAAGAAAGGTGTTTTTAACGAACAGTTATAATGAACCTGACTGCTATTTCCTAGATACTTTTCATACTATAAGTTCTACACCCTTATAATTCTTACCCACTGCCTTTTTACGCGACTTCTTGACTTCATGATACTATCCTTTAAAAAGACTTATGATGTCTTATTAATTATGTAACGTTTCAGAATGATTACAAATATAAAGTTGGTTTTTCCTTCCTGTATTATTAGAACATCATGATAATGCATATAAGAACTATGTAATTTTTTTATTCTGACAATATAACATTCAGAAACTAATTGCTCTGAAGAACTGTTTGGTATTAGTCTGAATGAATATCAAAAGACTTATTAGATTTGTTTAACAACTCATTACATTTCAATGTTTACCATAAAATTCGGTTGGAATAGCAATCCTTTATCTGGTACCGACATTTTGTATTGTGAACTTGACTATCCTCAAAGAAATACGAATTAATAAACTTTGAAATTCTACTGTAGATTATCTAATAAGATTCAGATTAAAGAATTGTGAATTCCAACCAAATTAATGGTTGTGTTGGAAAAGTTGTTAGGAAGACCTTAAACCACACTTGAAAGACATTATTATACTGTCAAACACCAAAGCTTGCCTAAATCTCGATTAAAAGCACTTACTTATGCAAATGATTCGACACAATGAATGCTGTGGTTGTAGGGATTGTCGAGTTTCTGGTTGAGATCATGAATCGATCAATGTTAAACCACCACTGAAAACCCGGAAACGCTGGCCGATCGTTTCGTCTTAGTATAGGGCTACTTAGCCATGCGCATCCATGATCCCGCACGCGAGAGGCAATTCATGGAGTTCTAGTGAGAAGCCGTAAACAGTGGTTCAATTCCGTGTTAGCTGTGACGCAGTTACCCACCAAAAACAATTGGAGATGGTCGCGTAACTTCGTGGATTGGTTGAAGTTAGATACTAACACCGCTGGATGCCGGCTCAGTGGTCTAAAGTTAAGCTTTAGCGCGTGAGACCGAAGGTTCTAGGTTTCCAATCTGTCGTGCGGAATCGTAGATGTGCAGTGATGAGGAGTTCTGTGCTAAGACGACACAACGGATGCTACTTGACGGATGAATGGAGTCAGTTGTTGGTTTTGGATCTACAACTCACTATTATGCTATACATTAAAAGACACCTTGGTCACTGACTAATTCATTCACAGATATAGAGAAAAATTTTATTTGGAGGAAACCACTATTCTATCAGTCTAAACAACTATCAATTATACTAAAGTAAGGATAATGACCAGTGTAAATAAGTTACCAATCTTACTCTCTTTTCTTTTTGCTGATACCAAGAACATCACAAAAATGAATAAATGTTATTTCACCAGTATTGTCCTCATCAAATAACTTTTTCCACTTCTGGAATTAAAAAGATATAACAAAATGAAGAATTATTTCATTTAGTGAACCTAAAAATATATGTTCAAGTGGTAAAATCACTGTATGGTCTTTGGAATAAGAGGTCTGAGTGACGCCATATAAATTGTTATTATTAATGTAATGACCAACTCTCAAAATTGAGCTAGTTATTGGCATAATTATAGTTCATTTCAACACAATGGAATGGGATAAATGTTTGGAGACAATTGGGAGGACACCAGTAATATAGATACTGTTCTTTTTATTAACTTTATTGTGGTTGTTTTTCATCATCTCTGTGGTTAAAGCCCGAATAAAAACGAAGGATTAGAAACCACATCCCGAAGAAAACAACTTTGTTACAAAAAGCGCTAACCACATAAAATAATTTAAACCTTTTAAACTCTACCATGGAAGTTAATTGTAATCATTTAGAAACGTTATGACGCCTCATGATGAAAGCCTAGACTCTCTGAAACTCACGAAGGCAATGCCCCTTCTAAAATCCAAGGCAACTCTTGTTATAGATACATGGGGTTTCCACATGATATGGGAAACTGAGAGTACTATTCAAGTAGTTACGGAAATAAGAATATATAACATGGCAGTGCCTAGAAAAAGTGAAATCCATTGAACGAAAGCTGTATAGAAAAGATAAGTTTCAAGTGAGTTGCTGTTGTACTCTGGTCATGAAGAAGAAAATGCATCGCATGCACAAGGAGTTGGACCTGTGCTGTTCGAAGAAACACGAAAAGCACTTATATGATAGTAATCCCATGGCTCCAGGATCGTCAAAGCACCATTCAGCCTTTCTTCGAGATACTAAAATACTCATCGAATTCAAGATATCACTCAGCAGTAAGTTCCAAGCCTTACAAGATCTATTTAGAGAAGAGGAAACTTCTATGATAAACAAATAGAAAGGGATTAAATAAGTCATAACTTCTACATGTCAGGAGGTGCCAGACTACAAGAAGCATTAGCATAAAGAACGGATCTATGTCGACACCCTGGGCAATATTCAGGAAAGGAAGAACAAGAAAACAAAAATTAACAATAGCCGAACAAGAGCAGATAAAGTCAAAGCACAAGCCAAATACACATAAGCAAACAAGCGAGTTTAGAAGGGTATCAAACTTGATAAGTACAAATAAGTGGAAGACCTAGCAATGACAGGAAAAAAAGTTACAAGAGAATGAAATATGAAACAACTACATGATACAACGAGGAAACTAGCTGGAAAACATAGTAAACCAGAGTGACCAGTCATGAAAAAAACAAAGAAAACCAAGAGTAGCGAAAAAGATAGGTAGAACACTCTGAAAAACTCTTAAATTGACTCAATGTAAGTGAATTCTTCAGAAACTAAATGGAAAAGTCAAACATTGCTAATGATAACTGTAAATCCATTTATCTATTTACCTAGTAGCTATTACTACATAAAAACATGTTACTAGTTGTGGTTATTGTTAGGTGTATTGCATATATATATATATAACAAAACAGTTATTATATGTGAACATGCTTTAAATACTCACTGGTACAAAATCATCTGCCACTGTACTTTTCATAGAATATCTTTCAAGATCTTCAATTGTGATTATCCCATCATTGTCAGTATCAATTAATGAAAACGCATGTAAAATTCCTTGTTCAGTCATTTCGAACTAATATAAAACAGTTTACTAACAAATTATATTAATACTAAATCCATAACGAGTAATTTCTATTATTCACGTGTAAATTTATATATACATATATATAGTATAACAAACATTGAGTTTTGTTTATTGTGCATTTACTTATTGCATTAGGATGATTATAAAAGTAGATTTATCATAAAATCAATCATAAAGGATAAACAACATATACATAATTGAAATTTCCACCAATCTACCTCTACAAACTTTGATTAAAAACAAATTTTTCTCTATAAATGATAATAATAAACTACACATTTTTGTTATTGTTCAACTTTTATAATTTGATTAAACAACAAGTAGACATTTAATAATAGGAGTTTATTTTATTGCAGTGACTATTTAAAAGTCAATAATGTTTATCTTAAACAGAGTACGAACAAAGATTGATGCAGAATAATATGAATTCATTTTATTTCGTTAGGTTCTCATCAGTTGCTTATAACCTAAAATATTTGAAATTCAACGTTATTATAGATATTGACATATATATACATACGAAGGTGATTAGAGATGAATATATGTATCATGATGTGGTGAAGAATCCGATAGAGTTAATGAGGTCATAAGAAGTTTGTTTCGAATCAATAGAGTTTGGGAGAGAAAGTTCCAGAACAATGAAATAGTGATTAGTGTTATATCCTAGTGAAGATTAACTTTCGAGTAACTTCTGAGAATTACCGATGGACTAATATAATCTATATATTCTTATGGTATAACTAGTCAGTAATTGGGTTATGTATATTTATATTCCTCTTACTATAAGCTTCATTTTGACCTATAATTTATTATTATACGATTTACTGCTCAGTTATTTAATTACTGTCTCTCACACTCACAGCCACTTTTTGACTTTATTGTGTATGAATGTTATTTCTTATTTTATGGTGCGTTGCGATCTGTTTGGTTGGTATATAAATTCAGTATGTCTGAAATAAATGATTTGCATAGTGGAGGCTGTTATTGGCATTTTGGACTCAGCTGGACGGGCTAGGCGAGCAAAGGACCAATAAGACGCTAGGCTGGTCAGACCGGTCGGATCATAAAGTCATAACAATTAGAACGTAATAAATAAAAAAATATTTATTACGTGATTCAACTCTTTCTGAATTTTAAGTTACATCACTGTCATTTTCTTTAATTCATAACTGACTGATTTCAAGTCGGATTTTTCTTTATTACAATTAATCTATTTTCAGTTACTTCATTATACAATCATCTAATGTTTGTTAACTTCATGAGTTCTAACCACTATTTCAATGTTCTGGAACTTTCTCTCCCAAACTTATCTGATTCGAAACAAACTTCTTATGACCTCATTAACTCTATCGGAATCTTCACCACATCATGATACATATATTCATTTCTAATCACCTTCGTATGTATATGTATGTCAATATCTGTAATAACTTTGATTTCCAAATATTTTAAGTTGTAAACAGCTCTGTTTAAGATAATATCGGGAACTATGTGCATGAAATAATGTTCACCATTTTTAATGTCATATAATGAACTATTCAAATTATCTATGAGGTGTTCATGTTTTAAAGAATGACCGTATTAAATTATTGTATTTATGGATTCTTATATTAGTCATTGAAAAGATAAGTAAATATTTTTACTCTTAATAAATGGTAAATTAATAAAGGTTCAAAATTCCCGTTCAGCAAGTAGGTAGTATCATTTTCAAAAGATAGTGTGGTCGATAACCGTGAAGATTTGTAGCTCAGCTGGATGATATTGGTGAAGTTTTGTCCTTTGAGTCATATGGTTTAGTCGTGGAGCTGTGAAAAACACTACATCATACAAAGTGGATGCCACCTTCATCTTAGCCTGAACAAACATCAATTAACGGCCAAACGCCATGACATATCATTGCTTATATCAATACATGTGGACAACTGTGGACACACATTCAACTGTGAAAGTGTTGAAATCTTGGATAGAGGGAACTCTAAAAACACCAAAGAATTTTTAGAAGTTTGGCACTCAGGTCGATCAGCAATCAACAAACACACTGAAATCGATACAATTTATCAATCAATCAGAAAAATTATTGACAAATATAGAACCAAGAATCAAATCAATGGGAGATGCAATCAAAATAAAGATATAAGCGATGACAGGTTAAAGGCCAACAATAACCAATCAAGATCGAGGTCCACTGAACAAGCTGTCTGTTATATGTGGAGACGTTTGTGCTGATGATGTCGTTCAGAATAACGATGAAAGCTCTAAAACCAAACTATCCAACTCAGAGAACAAAACTTCATCAAAATGATCGATAATCACAAGTTTACAGTGTGCCAAAGAAAAGATGTTGTTATAAAGCATAGTTTGTTGTCTTGGCAAACTTGTTTAATGTTCAGTACAGAATAATGTAAAGAGTAAATTGCTGCAGAATAATTCAATAATAGTGATCACGTGTTTGGTCAACAGTAAGATCGGAAACATATATCTTAGCATAATATGAATTAGTATTAAATGGAAAATGTAAAACGATGAATATTCAGGAAATACTCTGAATATTTTGTTCTTTTCTGGGTCTATATTATCAATATCAATTGGTGCATCTGTGTTGTTTCCTACAATTTAAGTTCCTACCAGGAGTATTTTTTTATTGTATAGAGGATTAAGAAATATCTAGTCTTTGTCAGCGTGAATCATATGTCTTTCGATTCTTGACTAAATGCATAATATGTCCAAAAACAAAACAGTCGAAAGAAAGAATACAGAAAATTGATTAGTTTTTAACAATACAGTCAAAGTGAGCAAATAATTAATATAATGTCAATCAATTATATATAAGTTTCAATTATTGAAGTTTGAAGGATAATTAGAGATTAACAGGGAAACAAAATTTGCTTCAATTTTATTTTAGCAAAAATTGTTACATCCACATCACCTATTTCATATACTTGAAAATGAGAAACCAATACAACTATCATAATTCAAAGGAAAAAGAAAAAAACTAGTCACAAGTGATAAGTTATTGATTCCAAAATAAGCATGACGACTCCAGTCGAAACTACATTTATATATATATTGATTTGTGTACCCATTTCGAATAATAACTTTTTTTAAAAATAATTACATGAATGAACTTGTTACAAAATCCCATTCTTCATGTTATGTTGAGCACAGTCCATGTTAATTCAATACAATGAATATCATATCTTCAATAAAACATCACACTGAAATAAATCAGTTATAATGAATAAAATATCACACTGCAAAAATAAAATAAATATGACATCGAGTAATCTTTTTAATTGAATTAAAAAAAAAACGAATTAATATTGAAAAAAACGATCACAATGAGTTAAAAACGTAATTTGCATTTCCATTCCATCATATCACAAATAGCGAATATGTTCAGAATACAAAAGTGATGTGGTAAGATATGATAATTCGGAGTATTTGAATTATAGTATGAACTAAGAATCCTAGAAATAACGTAATCGGATCAAGAAGTACTCGATAGGCACGAACGAATGTACTGTATTTGGAATTCGAAATCAAACATTCAACAAGTACAAAGGAATCATTAGTTCATTCAAACATCACATAAGATTCAATTCAATAGAATTAACTACATTTATATTTTTCTGTAGATTAAGAGAAATTATAATATGAGGTAGTGGAGAAGATTTGTAGCTCATGTGGTTGATTTTGATAGAATTTTGTTCTATAAGATGGATGGTTTGGTCATGGAGCTTTCATCTTTCTTCTGAATGACATCATCAGCACAAACTTCAGATAGAAGTTATCTTGAAATATAAATGTGTGGTGATATAAATTTTTGACTTCTCATAAGATAATTGGCAGATCGTTTTATATATATTTTGATGACCATAGATATCGTCGTATATTTCAATTGATTAGCAGCTTTATAGCTAATTTGTACTGTAATACAGTAATTCATTCTTCATATTTCCTGTCAACATTTTCATTGACTTATTATTGAAAATCCGTATTTTTGAACGTTAGATAGTCATGTGAGTCAATATTTATTTCTGTAATACTTTCCTTCAAATTCAGAGTAAAAATATCCCTTCTTTTGGATGGTAAACATTTGCAGTGCAGATTTGTTTCATTTTCTGATTTCGGTATTTAAATGACAGGTTTCAGATCAAAAACACTTATAAATGGAAATAACTTGATTTAAAAAAACTCGGAATAATGGACATAGTGAGTATGTCATGTCATGAAGCTTATTCAAAGGTGTGTTATTTTATGAAAATGAATTATATTAATTCTGTCCTCACAGTAATTTTTTCTGGTTAGCGTGTTTTTAGCGAGTTAGTTTTCTACGAAATAGGGTCGCTAACCCCATGCCTAACCCTCCTCCTTTACACGGGCTTGGGACCGGTGGTAGCCCCAGAGGGGCTAGAGGCGGAGTTAAGAGAGTTAACTTTAATTTTTTTAATTTGAGCACATACTATATAAGTACAAAGTATTGTGTCTATGTTAACGTTTTCGCTGCGCATAGTTTGTCATTGAACTACACTTTTAATTTTTGTATTTGAATAACCTTCTTGTATTTTTTACTGTTCATGGGCTATTAAAATTTCCATCTTCTTTACTATTATTTTAATACAAAAGTTAACATTTATTTCTTCTGATCAGGTTTTTGATATCATACGCATTTGTGATTTATGCTAATTTATTCTTTTGTTTAATGAAAAGTTTGTTTAATCTGATTGGCGTTTTTTTAGCAAGATTTTTTTCTACGGATGGAGTGACCGACTCCGTGCCCAGCCCTCTCTCTTTGCCCGGGCTTGGGATTGGCAGTAACTCTATAAGAGCTACAGGAGGACGTCAAGACAGTCCTGTTTTACCGAGCTGAAACTTGAAGAACTACTACAACCATTATCAAGAAGGTACAAGTATTTATAAATAGTTGTCTACTCAAGATACTCAATATCCGTTGGCCGAATACTGTCAGCAACAGCCTTCTG